GTACCTATTCAGCGGCGTTATGTAGCGATAAAACTAAGGCCGTGACATAAAATGAAAGAGTCGAGGATGGACCCGAACTAGATAATAGGTGCGATGCCATGCGGGCACAATACTGGCCTGCCCAGCACAATTTCAACAATGCATTTGTTTATTCAACCGTTATCTTTGTAATGAAAGTGCAAGACAATACGTTTATTGTCCCCTGTCGGCCACATCTTCACACCTTGAACTTTTACTTGCAACAACTTGAACCGGCTCGGCTTTCCACGGACGATATCGTCAAAATGAAATGAAAAGGAATTTGGAAAATGGATTTTCATATATTTTTTGATGATTTTTATAAATCACCAGATTTTATTAAGACACACAAGTGCAGGCCCGTTCCTGGGGTATATGGCGCCTACGTGCAGCATTCTTTGGTGCGCCCTATTTATATTTAAATCAATTATATATTTTAATCTTAATCTCAAAAATTTAAAGAATTTATATTCTGCGACAAACGAGCAATATGAATTTGGAAATGTAAAAAAAACTATTCTAATTAAAGTATAAAAACATTTATTAAATAAATAAAACAAACAAAACCACAAAAATATTTAGTAACAAAAATAGAAAAAAACTGACCCATTTTATATGAAATACATAAAAACAATAAACTAAAAATAGGAAATAATATACATGTACTGATTTCTTTCGAAAATCGACAAATATGAAACTATGAACCCTTCCCGGACACAAACGGTACATTATGAGACAGGAAATTGTAGAAAGAAACAAGCCCTATAACATAGGATGCAACATTTTAACGAACAGTGCTTTCCATAAAATCAATAAAATGAAAAATATACGAAATAATATACATGTACTGATTTCTTTCAAAAATCAACAACTATGAAACTATGATCCCTTCCCCGACACAAACGGTACATTGTGAGACAGGAAATTGTAGAGAGAAACAAGCCCTATAACATAGGATACAACATTTTAATGAACAGTGCTTTCCATAAAATGAATAAAATGAAAAATAAATAGATGAGAACAATGTGTTGCCGACAGATTGCCCTAGACTTGTTTATTCGGTGCGAACGCAAAAAAGACGCTAAGCAAACTTTATCCTATGATGTGTGTTTAAGTATTTGTTTATTGGCAAGAAAGCGTACCGGTTTTTTGTTACAAAGTACTGATTGACCCTTCGATTTTGCGCCCCAAAATGTTGCGCCTACGTGCGTGCACGCTCTGCACGCTCGCTAGGAACGGCCCTGCACAAGTGGATGTTCCTACATTTTTGTTTTTTTTTTCAGACAAAAAATAAAGTACTATTTTTTGGAAGTTAAAATCCATCGTCTTGACCAAATTCCAACATTTTTTGATGATTTTTTTATGTAAAAATAAAGACATGACTAGATATTCATACCCTTGAGATTCTCTTAAAGTCTGGAAAATTTTCTGGATTTGGATTTTCTCTATTGTGCTCCCCTTTCTTGAGTAATAACTCATCATACTTTAATAAAAGCCAGTATCTGACAGGGTTTTACAGAGGGTAGTTCTCCATCTCCAATATCAGTCGTACCAAAGTTTATGGTACGAATGGTTGTCATCTCTGTGCACTCAACGATGAGGTGTTTCTTCATTTTCCCCACAAAATCTGCAATTGTTGTTTCTTAGCTTCAATCTACTGAGGTGTTCATGGAGGAGACAGTGTCCTGTTAGCAAACCCCGTGACAATCCGACAATTGTTATTACTTAAATCAAGAAAAATATTTGATTTTTCTCGGTGGTAACTTCCAGAGTAACTTCTTCGAGTGTGTTAGACCGTTGCAGGATTCCTATTCCAAGTTACGGATGTAGTCTTCCAAGTTCTTGAGTACAGCTTTGAGTTTTTCCAGGACATGCATAATGTAAACTGGGTATTTTATATTTTCCAAGTTATGCAACTGAATATTGCCAGACTTTTTGGAGATTTATTCCAGAAAAAATATCTCCCATATTGTATACGCTAGATAACATTTTAACCTGTCTTATATCTCTAACAGAGATTTTTTTAGCTGGGACATTTATAAAAAAAACAATTATAGTATTGGTACACTCACACTCCAATATATTAGATATATGTATTAAGTATCACATTTTTCTTTCTCATGAAATCGTTTCATTACTACAATTTTGGATGTGTTTTTTTTCACAAAATAACACAAATTCACAAAGTAACGCACTATATTTTTCAAGTCACGCATAATGTAAAAACGCAATAGCATAGCATTTCCATAACAACAATTGATATTTAATATTCCATTTTGGGTCTAAAGGTTGGTTGTATTGTAGAAAATTACATTGTCACAAAATGTCTACAAATGGTTTCGTGAAAATTGGATTTATAGTTCGAATTTAGTTCTTAAAGATCACCATTTCTAGAGAAAATTGATTCGGTGTATTCTGTCAGTCTAAATTTTGAAGCATTATTAAACTCTTTTTTGAATTAACGTAATAATGATCGTTCTTTAAAAGACACCAATACGTGAAAAATATTCCCAGAATACAGCTTATAGCTAGACGTTCTCTTCCTAATTATTACGATAAATAGCCTGAGACATAAATCTACTAAACAGTACGGAGTTCAAGTCCCCCAGAGCATCAATCCATCCATTCGTCTGTTCTTCTAAGCCCGTGCAACGCAATCTTTTGACCATTATTCGGAAGTAGAGGTCACAGGCCGGCTCTGCGAGCAGACCCTGATGTGTTTAGCACCGGCGGTTGTTCCCTGCACGAACTCTAGTACCATACCAGTTCCGGTATTTACTGTGTCAGTTTCTATCTGCAGGTACTCTCTTCTTTTCTTCTTTTGGCCCGAGGTGGAGATCGCTACGTCGTAGCGGGTGGTGGGGGACCAGGGGGGCACGGGGGCGAGAGAAGGCAGTACTTGCGACCGTACTTTGCAACTGGGGCCATAGGCGTACCTAGGTCATTGATACAATTATAATTGCCAAATATGTCCTGAATATTTCCCAGTTTTTTTGAAGTATTAATGGTCTTTTGATCAATCATTGTAAATAAGTTAATGTTAAAAAAAGCAACATAATATACGTTGATGGTACGGTTATATTAGCCTACAAGAATTGTTGAATAGAGTTACAATAGGACTTCAACTTCAATGGACGTAAAACTAAAACCTTGATCGTTTCTAAAAAGACGATCGACCTCAAAGACGGACAAAAAAAGGACATCAACGAACGAACAAGCAAAAAGGACATCAACGAACGAACATAAAAGCAAATCACAGTTACATAGAGCAAGTAATCAAATTCAGGTATCCTGGATCTTGGATTACTGAGGACTTGGTTCAGGATATAGAGATTAAAGCCGGGATAGCGCAGGGCCCTGCACATTTCTCAGAATGAAACAAATCTTTTGTCATAAAGATTTAATATTGATGTTATGGTCAAGTGCTACACTTATTATGGAATGGAATCCTGGACCCTGAAAATGACTACTATGAGAAAAATCGACGCTTCCAAAATATTGATATTTCGTGGAATGCTGAAGATGCCTTGGGTAGAGCACATGTCAAATGAATATACATTGCATCGAATGAACCAAGAGAGAGAGAGGAAGAGCTTCTATATTTGTAATGAATCAAAGGAATCGTATACTTTGGTCATATTCTCAGGAATGACAAATATCACCAACTACCCCTTATCATCAAAGGTAAAATTGAAGGGAAGCAAGGTCCAGGCAGAAGACAGATGTCGTGGATGAAAATCATAAGTGAGTCGCCAGGATGTTCAAACACTCGTCAGAACAGCAGAAAGACGAGGAAATCTCTCTATAGTTATCAACAATTTTCGTTGAGAGGGAGGGAGCACCTCAAAATGAAGAAAACTATTTTTGGACAAATGCGGAACTAAATTTGGTTGGTTTTGTTCTCGTTTAGGTTTGTTGGTATCCTGATCATTGCCATTTGAGGGATATAAATCTCTAGATCACGTGTGCTTACCTTGTCTTCTCCACCCTATTCTCTTGTGGTCCCCCTCTGTTATTCCAAGCGTGTATTGCTCCTGTGATACAATCCCGACCAGATGCTTTCCATATACGTCTATATATTTTAATTATAAATATATATTTTGATTTTTCCTCGTTTTTGATAGGATGTATTCTTTTTTTTAATTGTGCACGCCCCTGATAGGAGAGTACTTCTTCTGGCCAGCGATATGCCCGCAAGCTCGTACCACCGAGGAGTCACGACCTTTCGTAACCCAACTTGCTTACCAAATTCACACACGCGAACTCGGCCTCGCATCGCACAAGCAAGCACCACCACGTCTAATCAACCGTCTTGGTACTGCCACTCTTCGGCACTTGTTTTTATTGACATGTCACGTGTCATTCACAAAACGCTTTGCGTCTTGGCGTTATTGACCTTTCCGCTGAACTCTCTCATTGAACTAATGTACTACCTGCGAGTTCCCTTTATAGCCGTTTATTGTCTTATTTATGGGATTTTTCGTTTTAAGTTGTTTCTTTAACAACCATTTTAAATTTCTGCGTCAGCTCATCGACTACTGAATTTATTTTAACAAAAAAAAAACATGGGAATTGAAATAATTCTTTTGTGTAGATTTTTTAGTAAGTTAAAGCTTTAGTTTTAATAAAATTAATATTATATATTCGTTTTCTCATAGAAGATGTGAAAATCGCAATACCACCATAATCCTAATGAAAATAACAATTTTAATAATATGCTTTTAAAAAGTTGCATGTAGTTTTTGTCGCTAGGCGTCAAATTAACTAGAGTAATTAGTTAATAAAATAATTATGGTTTGCCAAAATTCATCCAAAAATCTATTTTTTTGAAAAGTACGCAATTATGTGAACTTTAATAAACAATGATGATAAAAAATGTAGTAAGTTTATTAGCGACATGACCAAAATCGTCAAATTTCATGTCTGAAAAAATTAGTTTCTTTTTCTGTCAAATCCGAAGTTATCCTTAAAACTAAACTTACCCGTTGTAAAGAGTACTATAGCCTTCAGACATGAGTACTCCGCAGAATCCACATGCAGTGCTTTCAGCTTTTCTACTTGTTCCTAAAAAAAGAAGACAAACATATTTGAGATTACGTTTATTTGTTTTCTGTTGGTACTCACTTGAAATATTCTAATATGGTCCATGAACTGTACTACCCTGTCTGCACACATGGGGGATGCATGTAACCCTGCTGCTGCTATCAGAGGCGCTACATGCAGAGGCATCGAGCACTGGCTAGCGTTTAGAACAAATAGTTCTGACCAAACTAGCCTCAGCAAAGCCACCTAGATCAAAGAAACATTTGGTTTTGATAAGAAATAATACTATGTAGGTCGTACTATGTCCGTACCTGGTCAGTCACCTGGAGATCGGGAAAAAAAGGTATATTTCTTGCCCACTCCACGGCAGAGAAAAGCAGTCTTGCAGCCAATTCACATATGTTCTCTATGCCCATGATATTGTTGGGCTGGATGCATTGGCCATACCTCGTGGTGGTGGGATATGGCTCGGCTCTTAAAAGTAAGGATATGTAACTACTGAGGTACGAATGGTTGTTGAGTGACGTCGTGACGGGATCTGTTGAACTGAGGAACTGATTTGGTAAACCTGGCAACGCTGGTTGCGATGGGGGCACTCTACCTCTTTGAACGGCTGCAATAAAATTTTATTTTAACAATCCACTGAACCAACTGATAAAAAACTAAAAATTCATAAACAATTTTATAGAAAATTAACAAAGTTTAATAAAGGCTATAATATCAAAGAGTAAAATCAGACAAGCCAAAATATTAATTAAAATTATCACAATACATATAATATTATGTGTTCCTAACTAAGTCATAATCAACAGGTTTATGAATACAAATGCGCTATTAGAGTGGTCTAGAAGTGTCCACTAAATATGCTAATTAATTTAAATATCCCAACAGGCCTGCCGTTTGGTAGCGGAAAACCCGATATACGTATATTTTAAAGGAAACCAGATAAAAATCACTTTTTATTAGGTGTTGTAAACATTCCCTCCGTTGGTGTGCTTTTGGGTGGTGAAGATTGATTTGCATAACAGGTAGACATGCTGCTATCCGGATTCAATTTTAATTGCATCACTTAAAGAAGCATTCGCTGGTCTTTTCTTTTTATTTGTACACAGTGCGTAACAAGTGGAAAAATGCTTATTGTGTTTCTTCAATGGATGGAATATCTGTAAAAATTTTTGCGATGGATAAAATAAGATTATCACAACGTAACAAAGTATTTGTTGGTTGGTTCTTTTTGTTTGTACACTGTGTAACAAATGGAACATAAAATTTGGATTTTTGTATTCACTATATAGTTCATAACTAAATTTCATTCTGCGTATTCTTCAATGAATGGATAAAGAGCTGTATAAATTTGCGAAGGATAAAATTAGAAAACAGGTTTCTATTTATATTTTAAATAGGTATACGTCTAGTTCAGTGGAATGTTGTTTTTTTCTTATTCTGCTGTGACACACTTTACATTAACAGATAAGGGTTAAGATTGCTTTCAAAGAGTTATACAGGGTGGTCCGAACTGTATTCCGGAAACTTCGGCAGCATATTCTGCAGATAAAAATAAGCAAAAACTTCGTATAAATGTATGTCCTAAAATGCTTAGTTTTGGAGATACAGGGTGTAGAAGTTTCATTTTAATTTCGATTTTTTCCAAATAATTTCTGAAGCAACATCAATATTTGGATGAAAATTGGTCTGTTAGTTTTTTGTCTTGAGAAATTTGATTTTGATGTCAATATGACTCCTATTTGTAGGGGGCGCCACCTATATGGATTTTAACTGTTTTGAAGAGTAATAACTTAAAAAAACTTTAAAGTTTCCGGAGTACAGTTCGGACCACCCTGTATATCACGTAAAAAATACATCTATTTTAAACGTTTCTACTACTTTCTTACATTTGCCTACAAACTAGTGCTTACATTTATCCATAAAAACTAGGGAAATAAATAAATAAAAAAAAAAAATTGTAGCTTTGTTATTTCACACAGGTGAAAAAAAATGAAAATGTGAATGCAGCTCAATGTCTTTTCTGAATCTACTTAGAACTAATCAATTTGTTATAGACTTTTATTTCTATCGATTGGTAATGATATGGCTATCGATTCTAAGATCGCTTAAGATGGGATCATAGACGGTTAAATGCACAGGCCCCATCCAAGTGAAATATTTCAAGTTCATCATCATATAACGAATAGGTTATGCCATTAATCACAAGGCCCGTTGCTTGTCCAACATCATTTATATAGGCAGTGACGTTTGAATTATGTTTGATTGCTGTTCAACTTTTTAATTTTTTTTAACACACAAACATTTATTGTATTGTCATTTTAATGCCCAATATTGTACCGGCGAGGGGCACCACTCGTTAAAATTTTAGAGTACCCACATAAATTTCCGTGAAGGAGATCGCCCAGTAGATATTATACAAAATGTGTACGGCCGGGCTCATTAGGTATGCGAGCTAGATGGGTTTTATGTAAAATTTTCGTTGTGATTGTCATATTTTCGTGGTACTTGCTCTCCTAAAGCGGTCACTTTCAAGAAAATACATAAAAAAATATAAATGGACGCTTTTTACAGCCTCTAGGCGGCTACAAAAAGGTTTTTTGTCTTTTCCTTGTTTTTGTTTTATTCTAAAATTGGAACAGATCTATTCACCATCTTTGTATAATTTTTCCTTCATAATTTTTGAATTGAGAAAAAAATACATAATTTTGAATTATTTTAGACTAATAATTGTATGGTTCATATTGTAACTGTTTTAATAGACGTGTCAATGCGAATAAACTAACAGCGCTTTCAGATGGAGCGGAGCGTCCGCGACGGACCGTCCGTCGTGTTTTTTTCAAGATAGCCGTCGGACGAATTCCGTCGCACGGAGCATACGCGACCATGTGAAATAGTTCATATAAACTCATGGTACTTGCTCAAAGACGCGGACGCTCCGTCGCAGACGGTCCGCTCCATCTGAAAGCGCTGTTACAACGCTTTCAGATGGAACGGACCGTCCGCGCGTATGTTTTTTTAAGATAGCTCATCCGGACGGAGCATACGCGACCCATGTGAAATCGTTCATTTAAACTCATGGAATTGGCGGACGGTACGCGCGGACGCTCCGCTCCATCTGAAAACGCTGTAAAGTGTTCTCGAACACTTGTTGGATCTTTTCTGGGTTTTCTCTGAGTTTTCTTGTATATTTAATCTACTACCTATGTTACCATAGTATGAAGATATGCTTTTTAACTAAAAGTTAAAAAAGTTTCAAGTTTTTTTTAAATGCCAAATTTTCAAAATATTTTTTTGTGATAAAAACCTCACAAATGTGTTTCTGGGATCAAAATATACTCTACCTCTAAAAATATTTGTACTTATTTAAGACTCACCCGGTATTTTTACATTCAGTCATTTTAAATACTTTTTCTTTGTTCATTTGCTTCTGAATTTAAGCTAGTTTATTTGCTAGTAAAAAGCCTGTTCTGTTTCAGTGGCGATATTTTCACGTTTTTTTCAATGAATGGCCACAAAAGTCATAGACAATATCAATATATACTTTCTTTTTTATATTGTTTTTATTTTTTAAGGCTGAAGCTAAGAATAGTTTATTATATTGTTTCAGACCATCATTTAGTATGAAACATTATATTAACTATTTCGAGAACATTTTAAATAGGTACTTTTTATAAACAGATACGTTTGTTTAATCATTGAACGACGTGCCAGTGCACAGATACTTTGATTTTTAAGTGTTTGCTTCTGTAGCGATGTTCCCAGGAGATTGCAAAGATGAAGGTGTAGACAGTATTGTTTGTTTACATTATTTTTATTTGTCGGGAATAATCGTATTCATTTATTGTAGCAGAACTAAACGGGATATTGTTTTTCTCTCACCTGATTAGGCTATGTTGATAATTTGCTTATAAATGTATAACACAAAGCAATTGATTTTGCTTCAGTCTCAGTATTTATTATTATAACAAATTTCGTACTTAAACTAAGGCTGCTCCTCAAATTTATTATTTTTTTAGTTTAGTACTAAGAATTCAAGACCCAAAATGTATTCTACCTACAATACAGCTCTAATAAGTGTTAGGGAGGAGTCTGGACAGTCCACGTGAAGAAGGGTAGGCTCGGAAACAAGTCGTGGGAGTACTTCGGCAGCATATTCTGTAGACAAAAATAAGTAAAAACGTTCGCATAAATGTATGTCCTAAAATGTTTAGTTTCAGAGATACAGGGTGTAGAAGTTTCATTTTTATTTCGATTTTTTCCAGATAATTTAAGTAAGGTGTCATATTGACATCAAAATCAAATTTCTTATGTCAAAAAACTCCCAGACACCAATTTTCATCCAAATATTGACGTTATTTCATAAATTATTTGGAAAAAATCGAAATAAAAATACAACTCCTACACCCTGCGTACCTCCGAAACTAAGCATTTAGGACATATATTTATACGAACTTTTTTACTTATTTTTATCAGCAGAATATGTTGCCGAAGTTTCCGGAATACAGTTCGGACCACCCTGTATAATCTATAATCTAGGGGTTTTGGCAGGAGTGTGCACCGTGCATGTCGCTTTTTTTTCAAAAATTGTTACCCAGTACATGAAAGTAAAACCCTTAAACGAATAAAATGGACGAACCATTAGTCCATAGGCAGACTGTTCGATTCTAAAATTGATTGGACGTGCAATATTAAAAGCGATGTGCCTCGTTCTGGTCACTTGGCTCTCTCCCACAAGCACACACGCCGCCAAGGCTCAAAGACAAAAAAAAACTGCATCGAACGCGTCAAAATGCCCGACACCCAGAAAAATTTCAGCGAGCACCACCAGGTGAGATGGAATGGGCGTTATGTATCCCATGTGCGGAACTTGTAATACACAAGTATTATAATTCCGAAGAGTTAGGTTGCCATGCCGGGCTCGGCTATCGTGGGAAATGACCTTACCTGACCCTGACCCTTAAAGACCAAGACTTGGCCGTGGTCAGAGAGAAGACCACTAGTACGGCCGTACGGTACGACTTGAACCTCGTATTTTTTAGTTTGTTGCTTTCTTCGTTGCTCTTTTTTTTTTTTGGCCGACATCGTCCGACATTTTTGCGTAATATTCGAATTTTCCTCTGCCTATTAAGACGGTGTTTTTTTTTATTATTTTATACGACTGCTTCAAAAAGTATTGTGAAATGTTTTTCTCTCTAAAGCTATTTTAAACCAATTAATAATTTTTACCTTACAGCGTACTGAGTAATGTTTTTAGAGATAGAAGACAAATATAGACAAACCCTATACAAAATGAAGGGACACAAGATATACAAAACCAGATGTAAACAGAAAAATGCTAGATTGAAGATAACAATAACAATAATAAATTTATCTGTTGATATGTAATGTCTCCGATAATTAACAATAACATAAGTCAGAATTAAAAAATCATCTACGCCAGTTTTCGGTTTTCAAATGTTGTTAAATTAACATTACAGTTGTTTATTTAAAAATTAAGGCCTTCGAGTTCTTGCCTTGTTTACTTTTTTAAGTGTCGTCTTATGTGTTTTTTTTGTGAAAAATCTGAGCACGGCCAAGCTTGGACGTTATGTTATGAGTATTATCAAA